GCAAAAATAAAATGTGTTTTTCATATACTTGCTGATAAAATCCTCAGTACATTAAGTACAGATCGAAAATATTTTTACAGTATGTGTTTATCTATTTAATCAGGAGAGGTTTCAAATAAAATATCTAAAATTTCTCCTGGAAACAATCATCATGTTCAGTGGCTCACAAAAGCAAATCGTGTTCTACCTTTATATATATTTCTACAGTAATGCCGACAAAAGAACTTGTTGACTTGGTTACAATTATTATGCAATGCTATGCACCAGGATGGTTCCATATTAAATCACATTGTTTGGCTATAGATGGCGCTCAAAATCTATGGTACCTGGCTCGATTATTAAGAAATGCAGTCATTGGTGTAAAATACAAGGAGGTAATGGAGCAAGTTTTAAGACTTGCCAACACTGAGAGTATATTATTGGCAATGGTAAATGACAAAATAAAAGAAGTTAGAACTGCAGCCCTACAAAGGATACTCAAGTCAAGAAATACTAACGAGCACAATAGACATTTTAAACTTCCTGTAACACTAAATCTCAAAGCCAATGATTACAGTGAATTAGTAAATTGTAACATTGAGGAAGTTGATTGACCACCTTTTCTGAATGTATTTTTAAATGAAAATTTTTTGAATGCCAATGACAGTCCATTAAGTATTCCAAAATATCCTTGTTATAATCAAAATATGGAAAGAATTGTTGGAATAATCACAAAGGCACTAGAAATTAGATATGGCTATGAAAAGCATCATAAATTACTAATAAACTTATTGAAATATAGGGAAAAAATGCCTAAGTTTGATTGGAAAGCACAATGGAAACAAGAATTTTGAATAAAGATATAAACAAAAGTAATTATTTATGTATAGAATTTTTTTTATAGCATCAAAAGTTTCTTTACTATACATTTTTGAAAGTTCATGTTGGTCCTTATCTTATAAATGAAATCAATTTTGTGCTTATCTTAAAGGAAGCATTTTTAAAATTATATTCTTTTTTAAAATAGTATCTTATTAGAGAATTTATATTGTATAACTAAATCACAAAGATTAATTGGTATAAAACGCAATTAATATAAAAATTGCTAACCATAACCCCATTTTTATCTATATCATTTTTATGCTAAAATTTGATTTTATGAGCAACCCCCTACCCTAGATCTCAAAAATGCTATTCATGATATTCATCTGAGCGCCAAACGTCCGCAAAATTTTCTATTCGCCATGATGGGTGGCAAAAAGAAGTAAACAAATAAAAAAACGTCGAAGATCTTAGACATTTTTTTGACATTACAGCTCGAGTTGTTGCGTACCAAACTGCGAAAACAAAAAATTAAAATGCAGTAAATAATATTTTAATAAGTTTTCAAAAAAAAAGAAGAGCAATTGACGTTATGACAAGCGGTTTTAAAGAAAGACTTTTGTTTAGCTGAACTGTGAACTTTACACATAAACACTCCAGCTTCGAAGAAAAAGTGTTGATAAAAACCATGCTGACTTTTTTTCCTCAATTAAACGCCTATATAAAAAGTAAAAGAAATTTATTGTATATAATACATCAAATCGTTTGAACAAAAGATCTACCAAAAGTGTTCATTGAAGAAAATAATATTAACAGCTGATTAAAAGAATTTTTTTTAATTGTCAAAGAATCTGAGAAAACTGCCAAAATTATAAGAACTAAACAATGAAATCAAGAAATTAAAAAATTTAGTTTAAAACTTAATGAATACAGCAAAGTTCAATTTAAAACTAGATGAAGACAGCTTAATTCAGTTTATAACTTTATAAAAACATCAAGGTTCAGTTTAAAACTTCATGATGACAGCAAACACTGCACTTCAACACGTAACAAAGACAGCAAAGTTCAGTTTAAAATGAAATCAAGAAAACGACGTTCAGTTTGACACTTAATGAAGATAGCAAAGTTCAGTTTACAACTTAGTTGTAACATGTAAATTTACAGCTGTTCAAAACTTAATGAAGACAGCAAGGCAGCAATTGATGAAAGGGGAAAAATCGCATTTTTTAATTACAAAAATTAACTATCAATAAAAACAAAGGTTTGATAATCAGATAGAAGAAGGAACATATAAAATTATAAAAGACATTTTTATATGCCCTTCTTTCACTATTGACAATATTTGAATTATTTTATTATGCATATAAGAGCTATGACAGGCTCTTAAAAAACACAACTTTAAAATAATGTTTAAATCAAAAGATTAGGAATAATATTTATTTACTTAATCATTCAAAGTTACCTCGCAAATGGGGTTGCTTTGAATATTTTTTGCAGTAAAAGCAAAATATTTTAATTGGTTTTAATATTTGATAAAAACAACACTCTAGGTTTACATAAACTTAGTATTACTAAAAAAATAAAATATAATTTCATACCGAGCCCTGAAAAGTTTTTTTAGTATTCGAAATGTTCTATACAAAGTATTCTGGCTAACCTAAGATTTTATTTTTATAAATGCTTAAATTATTTAAATTCA